TAGATATCTTAAAACACCTTTTTAAACATTAAAAGTCTACAAAACCGAGAGAGGAATAGGAGGGGGAAAAAAGGTCTACAAAGTCTCAAACACGGTTCCTTGGTCCAGTTTTGCGTCAATCCCCCAAAGCATTGCTGGGACCATCATCTTTTCCGGGCGGCGCAGAGCCCGAGGAGGGCCCAGAAGAGCTAACTGGGGTCGCCAGCCATGAGTCTTCACTGGCTGAGGAGGGGCAAGGGGCGTATAGCTAGATGGACTGGGAAGTGCAGTGTTCAGAGCTCTTCCCTCCCCTCCCCCTGTCCCCTCCCCTCCCCTCCTCTCCTATCCTCCCCCCAAAGGATCTGGGGTTTAAAAAAAGCCAAATGCGGTGGGCCGCTAGGAACACAGATGAAAAGCTGGAATGCCCAGAAGCCCTCAGCCCTTCCCAAAGTCACAGCTGACGGGGAGTCCATACCTGATACTGGCCTGGAGTTTACGAGCGCTGTAGAAAGACCAGGAACCAAGGAGCCCTGTCACACCTGCTCCTTCAAGGGTCCTCGCCTACACCTCTTCGATTATTTGAAGGGGTCTGAGATTTTGTCTGTTTCCAATGCAATCCATGCTGTTCATTACTCAGACTGGGTGGCGGATGCTAAGGGACTTTGGGTGAAGTCTGGGACCGGGATCTGGCCAAGCTCCCCTGTTAAATAAGCCTGAGCAGGTGCACAGTTCTGGCATCCCCCTACTTAGGGGCAACGAAATCCAGGAGTTCCGCAGCCCTAGAGGTTTCTAGATTCTGTCATAGTGGAGGCTCCCCAGCCTTAGGGACAGATTCTATTCTGTGTTCACGTGAGTTGCAAAGGTTTTCAACACCTATCTAGCTGACAATAAACTTGAGGGTGCCTGGAACTCTCCACGGTGTGGGGGAAGGGCAAAGTGTGGGGAGTGCAGAGAAGCCAGGGCTACAGCTACGGAGACTCCACTCCACCCCCAACCCCATCCCCCACCGGGACCCCAGCACGTCCACTGTAAGAAAGAGAAAAAAGCCGGTTGGGTTTTTTGTTTGTTTGTTTGTTTTTGTTGTTGTTGTTTTGTTTTTGTTTTTTCGAGACAGAGTTTCTCTGTAGCTTTGAAAGCTGCCCTGGAACTCGCTCTTGTAGACCAGGCTGGCCTCGAACTCACAGAGATCTACCCGCCTCTGCCTCCCCAGTGCTGGGATTAAAGGCATGCGTGCCATCACTGTCGCGGACCCCCCCCCAAAAAAGCCAGTTTTTAATATTGTGTTTTGCTTATAATCTTGTGTGTGTGGATAGGTACAGGCATGTTAATATTGTGTTTTGTTTATAATCTTGTGTGTGTGTATAGGTCCTGGGGGATGTGGAGGTCAGAAAGTGGTAGTCCATTTTCTCCTTCCACCTTGAGGGTCTTGTGGGTCCAACTCAGGTCTTCAGGCTTGGTGGCAAGCCCCTGACACGCTGAGCCATCCGGCTGGCTCACTTGTGACTGCGGCAGAGAGTGAGTCAAACAGAAAGATACACTGGCAAGCGCTTAGACCGGGACCCGCACTTTACAACAGGGAGCGCTGACTCAGCTACTTTGAGGGAAGGCTAAGCAAAGTGCGCTGTATGGAAATTTGTTGTGCACAGAGAGGATGAGAACCAATACCTGCTTTGTGCACTCGGAGAAAGCAAAGGGGCCTCCGGACGCAGGGGTGCGAGCAGGACGTGGATTTGTGGGCACAGGACGTGGATTTGTGGGCGCAGGGAGAGCTCGGTATTTTCGGTTGGAGAAAGAAAAGGCTTTTCCTATTGCATACCCTGCTGTGTTAGAATCAGACAGAACCCCTAAATGTTGAAACACCACAGGGCCCCGTTTTCGATTTCTTCAGGAAGGCCAGCGTATCCCGCAGACTAGATAGAGCCCAGCCCTCTTCCAGGAGGGAGCGGAGCCACCCAGAGCAGGGCTGCATCTTATTAGGCTTGACAACTTCATTTTGTCAGTTACAGGATGCCATGTGCTGTGTGAGAGACATTGTTCCCAAATGTGGTTCAGGGACCTCAGGGTCACCTGGTCCTGGGCTCGGCTGTGAAGAGGCTGTGACCCTGGGGAATCAACCCTGGAAAGGTTATTCTCAAACTGGGGGCTACAAAAACAGGATGCCACCGAACGAAGAAGAGAGTGAATAAAATCCTTGAGACCCCACCTTTCCCTGGAAAGACCACACACACACACACACACACACACACATACACACACAAACAATTCCTGTCTGGAAAGATGATGGGTTAGTTGTGTACTGCAATAAGAAACCCTCTTCATGTCTCTGGGACTGAACTCTCATCTCAAACTGATTCTGGGTCCATCGTAAAACACATGAGAACTCGAACCTTACTTACCCTTGAAATATTATGTCTCATAAGAGACCATTGGAATAATGCACAACCTCGGCATGTAAAATACATTCATAGCGATATTGCCCGCAGGAAGAAAGCTGGAAATAATCCCACTATCCATCCGGTGGGCATTGCTTGCCTGAGAAAGGCTCAGTCTTGATGCCAGGCAACCCTCCTGGGGCGAATCCAGGAGTCTCTGCTGCACGGTGGTGTCAGAGAGGGGCGCAGCAGATTTGTAAGGGTCACGTGCTCTGGGCTTCTGAGGGTGTAAGGATGGGCGTATCATGGGTGATGGATCCTACGGAGGGAGCCCGTGTGCATGGGTCTGGTGTGGTGAAGAGGGGCGGTGGCACTCTTTTCTCTTTGCTACGGGATTCAGGTTTCCCAGTGGAAACTGCTAGCACGCTATTTTTAACCGCAAGAGAAAAAGACAGCTGGCGTCTCCCAGCAAAGGAGGAGGCATGGCCCTCACCTGTTCACATCCACTGGTACTACTGGGTGCCCAGTGCCTGCTCCACCCAGGCTCAGTGCCTGACACTTAGGCGCTGAAAGGTCAGAGCTCTCATTTTAGAAGACAATAAAAAACAAAAAACAAACCTGGGGCTCGAACCCAGGTCATCTGTCTTGGCAGCAAGCTCCCTCGCCCACTTAGCCACCTTGCTAGCTCACAGCTCTTCATTTTTACAGAATAATTTACAATGAGCCCTTTACACAAGCTTGGCTGGCTGGAAGCCATTAGTCTGAACTGTAGATAATGGGCCCCAAAGGACTGAATCTCTGCACATTGATGAGGTTCAATTTAACTCGTTTCTTGTCCTTTTGACACATCAAGTATCCATTCTTCCCTCCCTCCCTCCCTCTCTCTCTCTCTCTCTCTCTCTCTCTCTCTCTCTCTCTCTCTCTCTCTCTCTCTCTCTCTCTCTCTCTCTTTTCCCTCCCCCCCCTCCAATTCCTCTCCAAGAGATCTGGGCTGGGACCTGGTGCCTTTGGCAGAGGCCAAGTCAACTCACAGGGAGCCTTTCCCGTGCCAGGACCGGAGTGGGACCCTCTGCTCATAAAGAGAGAAGGTCTGGGGCCGGCGGGGGAGGGGGTGAACAGCAGGTAAAAAACAAAAAAACAAACCCTCTTGCTGCCAAGCCTGTATGTGTGAGTTCGGTTCCCGGGACCCACAGGCTGGAAGGAGAGAAGTGATTCCCACGAGTTGTCCTCCTCCAACCTCCTCCCACGTAAGGCTTCGCATATGAGTGCATGCACGCAGCAGCTAAACAGATAAACACGCAAATAAATGCCATTTTTTAAAAGAGGCTGGTTTGGAACGGTGGAGAAGCCCCCTCCTCCCGGCGGCCGCTCGTGCACCGGGGGCGGGTCCATCTGCCAGCCACTGACCTCCAATCTGTCACTCGCGGCTCAAAGGCGGCGGCCCATTCAAAGGCTGAATGCACTGGGGTCGGAGCTGACCCGCCGCCAGCCTCCGCGGCTCCGAGTCGGCGAGGCACCCCACAGTTTACACCGGCCGGCCTCAATGCAGCCTCCAGGCGTCCCATTCAGCGAGGCTGCATGCAAAAGAGCCCGGCCGTTAGATCATCGTAATTATCCCATCGACACGGCCCAGGGCCCCCGTGGGGCACCGAGCCCATCAAACGCGCCCCTAACGAGGCGCTCGGGGGGCCCTTTGTGCGCGCGCCGCCCCCCGCGCCCGCCGCTCGCTTTCAGAGCGCTCACCCCCCTGACCCCCGACCCCGGGATCTGACATCAGCAGCCCTGGGCTGTGATCACTTTTATTGCACACACTCAGCGCTTGTTTCCTGTGTTTAACTCCGCTCCCCGCTCCGCCCTCCTCCCTCCCGGGCGACACTTATTGGAATGTAATAGACGTTGGCCCCTCTGCAGGGCCAGCCCGCCGCGTTCTCACACAGGGCCCAGCGAGGATGCCAATAACCGGCGCTCGCTTCATTATCCCGGTGCAGGCATCCGCTAATCACCGCCCCGCCGAACAATCTCCAGCAGATGGCCACAACTTTATGAGTTTTAATTAAAATGTCCTACTTATTTTTTTCATCAATGCGCTTAAGAAAAAATTCCCCCCGAAGTGAGGAAGATGTTACTGTCTTACAGTGTTTTGCAAATTACGCCTTCATCAGGGTGATTAAGGAACGCTTATTTGGATCTAATCGGAAATCCCTCCCCCTCCTCTTTCCCTTCTAACATACTGCTGCTAAATTAATTTTTTAAAGAATTAATTAAATTCCAGGTTTAAAGAGATTCTGTTTTCTTATGTCATAACAACCCCAGAGAGCAGGAAAGCGCAGAGGCTTGCTTCGTTCCGCAAAAGACGGCAATTTACACAAATCCCTTCATGTCCAAGTCTTGACAGAAAAAAAAAATCTTTGCTATGCTTTCTTTCGAGTGTGCGTGTGTGTGTGTGTGTGTGTGTGTGTGCTCACGCCTGCGCCTGTGAGTGCGCGCTCCCGTTTCTCTCAGAGCTGTTTGATTCCATAAAAGACATTATTTAACTTGGTGGCTGCGGAGTTTATGAAAAACCCACTTTAAACAGAGAATCTGGGGGCTTTTTAAGGTACAAACCCGATACCCTCTGCAAAACTCCCCCAGCACATATGGCTCTTAATGTAATTTTGTTTAACCGCAAGCATAATTTAATTTGCCATAAAACCAAAATGAAAGGACGCGACAAACAAGCCTTTGACCCGAGTGTCAGTTAAAATAAGCATTTGCCAAGCGGCCGGGACTTAAGGGAAACGGCTTCATCTCGTCACAAGTAGAACACCAGAGCAGAAAAGGATATTTTTCCCCAAGGGCAACTAAGCTTTCCGTGGTTGAGAAACATCAGCCACGACGTGAAGGGGTGTTTCTACCCGAGCAGGGTTAAAACTCTCTGGTCCTGAATGAACCCATCATTGATATGCAAACAGATGATGCTGGCAGAAGGGTGAAGAAACTTCTAAAGGGAAACGTAGCTAAAGAGCGATCAGAAACCTCCCCTGGCGGGATCGGAAAGAAAAAGACCTAAAGGAGGACCCCACCACAACCAAGATCAACTCCAGGAAGGCAGGCAGGTGTCTCTCAGTGAAACCCGGGGTATCCGAGAAGATGGTTTGGTTGAAGTCCTGTGGATTTTCCCAGAGACGTCCATTCAGTTCTGCAGCGCTTGCCTCGGATGGCTTTAAACACCAGCTGCTTCTCCATCCTTGAAGTGTTCTGGAATGTTCCTCAGTTTTCCTCCTGGTGACCCGAGTCTCCGTGTCCCCTCACTTCACATGAGTGTGCTGCAAGTCACCACGAGAGATGCATCGGCTCTCGGGACTGATGAAGTGGAGAGCAGTGGTCAGCGCTCAGTCAATGAAACTAAAAAGCTTTACCGCTACTGTCAAGCATTGTAATGTCAATGTCTGATATTGGGACCCCCCCAAGGGATCTCCACCCACAGGTTGAGAGCTGCTGCTAGCACACATACAGACCATGTCCACACCCCATAGAGACAGTCAAGCGCACAGAAATATTCAAAGACACACAGAAACACACACACACACACACTGACACAGAGGCACTCACACACATACAAACACACACACACACACACACACACACACACACACACAGAGTTTGGCCCTCACCACTACAGCCTAACCTAGATAAGGAGTCTCCTGGTCCCCTAACACTCAGTGACCTATCAAACGAAGCCTCAGACCCTTCTAATCCCTGTCTTTTCATTCCCTAACCAGGTGAGGAGAATAATTGAGTGTGGCCACCAGAAGCATGCCGATTAGCTTGTCGTGGTGGCACGTGCCAGCAATCCCGGGATTCGGGAGGCTCGTTAGGAGAATGCCTATGAGTTTTCAGGTCAGTCTAGGCTACAGAGTAAGACCCTGCCTTTTTTGTTTGTTTTTTGTTTTTGTTTTTTAAGACAGGGTTTCTCTGTGTAACAGCTCTGGCTGTCCTGGCACTCACTCTGTAGACCAGGCTGGCCTTGAACTCAGAGACCCATCTGCCTCTGCCTCTCCCTTTTCCCCAAGTGCTGGGGTTAGAGGTGTGGGGTCACTACTGCCTGGCACAACCCTGTCTTAAAAACAAATAAGAAATCCAAAGCAACACCACACACACACACTCAAAAATTCTATTATTCCTTCCCAAAAAACATAGCTGCATCTCAGCCACTATTGTTGGACCCAGGGACCACCTGGCTTAACACTCACCAGAGATCTCCACTTCAGTGATGGGGCTGGAAACTAAGAGGCCATGGAGATGAAGGCCCTCCTCTGGAATGATTAGGTCATCATACACACTGGGGGGGGGGGCAGGAAATGCAGCCTCAGTGCCAAGGCCCTGGGCGGGTCTGTAGGGCAAGCTTGTTGGACTCTGCAGCAGAGCACAGCTCACTTCGCTCCCAAGTGAAAGCTGTTCCAGTTCAAACTTAAGATGCCTTAGAGCCACAAATTCAAGCTATGTGTGGAATTTTAAACGTTCTATTAGCCATGCTTAAAAACAAGAGCCATGTGAAAATGATTTGAATAGCTGATTTTGTGTAACCCAATACATCCCCAATACTTCCATTCCATCATGTTACCAATATACAAGCTTAATAAAGAGGTGTTTTCATTCTTTGGGGGGGACTGAGTATTTGCAATTTGGGGCCTATTTTATGCATACACTGTAGCTTAGCTGGGACCAGCCACAAGAGCCACGTGACTAATGGCTGCCATGGTTGACACTCCTGCCTCAGTGAGGCTGGAGAGAGGGGGGAAGAGGGCAACAGATTTAGGGAGACAGGAATGCCAGGGCAGAGGACGGTGCCCTCAAGGTAGAGCCAAGAAGAGCCCCACACTCGTGGAGGGGGGTGCCCGGCAGAATGAGAGCGGTTGTTAGGGAGAGTGGCAAAGGCAGGGGCTGCAATGATTGGGTCAGAGGTAGCAGCTGACTGAGGTGTGAAATTTTACCATCATGGATCAACCTCATGTGCTGTGTATGTTGTCTCTGGCTACGACCCTCACAGCCACCATCCGGGGCAGCTCCTGGAGTGCCCTCACTTCACAGATGAGAGAAAGAACCCTCAGAGAATCAAGACCATTCGTGGCCAGGGGACTCGGCTATCTTCAGGGCTGGGGCTTCCCCCTCTATGCCCCAGGAAGTGTGTTCCTGGATTCTCTCTGATAAGTACCCGTGGGCTGATGGAGAAGGGTGTCCCAGGGCCTTTAAACCACACAGCTGGACAAGCTGGCCTGGGGCCTGTGTCCTTGGCCCTCATGTCCCTTTCACAGGCTACAAGAAGACCTAACCTGAGGGAGATACATCTTTGAGGGCCGTTGCTGTAGGCACTTGTAATCCGAATCTATACAACCTATCTGTGAGGTTGTCCTGGTAAATTTTTATGGTCAACTTGACACAGCCTAGCATTGTCTGGGTAGAGGGAGCCTCAACAGAAGAATTGCTACCGTAAGACTGGCCTGTAGGCATGACTGTGAGAAATTGTCTTTATTGGTGATGGATGAGGCAGGGCCCAGGCTGCTGTGGGCAGCACCATCCCATGGGCGGAGCCCACTGTGGGCAGCACCATCCCATAGGCAGGCGGGTCTGGGCTGTATGAGAAAGCCAGTTGAGCTTGAGAGAGCAGACAGTGTTCTTCCTCGGCTTTCCCTTCAGTTCCTGTCCGAGCACCTGCCCTCACTGCCTTGGACAACGGACTGTGCCCTGGAAGTATAAGCTGAAACCAGCCCTCTCCTCCTCTGGGTTAATTTTTGTCACGGCATTTACCACAGCAACAGAAAGCACACAGGAACCATGCATGACTAAGTTCAGGACCTTGGACTGGGGGTAAGATTCTGGATTATCCCTCTGGGAACCTCTGTTAGAGGCTTTAATAGAAACGATGGATGGAGACAGAGGTCACTCAATACTGGAGCAAGACACTTGGTTGTGGCTTTGCTGTAACTGTCCTGTGAGGGAGACATGTCTGTGTCCCAGGAGTGGGAACTTATGCTTATTGCTGAGAACCAGGTGTCAGCATTTTAGTGAAACTGTCCTAACGACATGCTGGGAGAGTCCTTGTCCTCCAGTCCTGGCTCCTAATTTACACAGTGAATGCCCTAACTCAACCACCTTTCTTACCCCTCCCCCATCTCCTGACATGTTTCAACTTCCTCTTCTCTGTTCAGATGGTGTACAACTCTTCTACCTACTTCCTAGGGTGACCCTTTCCCACACAAAGAGTTCCCTATACAGAGTGGTGCCAATTTCCCTCCTCACCGCCATCAAGTTCCCGACCAAGGCAACTTAAGGAAGGATTGGTGGGGCAGTCACGGTGGGAGGAGCTTACGTTATGTAAGCAAGCAGGGAGAGACAAAATGCTGGCAGCTCACAATCTGAGGTACTGTCCTCCATGGCAGAGCAGTCACAGTGGGAGGAGCTTGGCTCGGCTGGCCACATTATATCCAGAATCAGCAAGCAGATAGAGAGAGAGATGAATGCTGGTGTTTGCCTCACGTCCCTTTACGTTGTGTAGGACCCCGGCCCATGCAATGTCGATGCCCACAATTAAGATGGTTCGTTGTACCTGAGTTAGCCCAATCTAGCCAGCCTCTCACAGACGTGGTGTGGCTGGTCTCCCAGGTGATTCTAGATCTTGCCACATATTGATGGCATCAACCATGATGTAGGAGTTGCCTGTCCTTTCCCTGTTAATCCCATGATGTAAGACTTGCCTGTCTTTTCCCTGTTAATCCCATGATGTAGGAGTTGCCTGTCCTTTCCCTGTTAATCCCATGATGTAAGACTTGCCTGCCTTTCCCTGTTAATCCCATGATGTAAGACTTGCCTGCCCTTTCCCTGTTAATCTCTTTTGCCAGGTAATTCCTAGTTCCGTTCACCAACCCAGGAAAAGAAGAAGCTCTTTCCTGTCCTCCACATTTAACAAAGCAATTCCAGCACACAGCTATGAGGCCACATAATTATGCTATTCCTAAATTTATTGTGGGATCTCTAAAAACCACACTTCATGGACTCTGCTCTATGGTGCCCTGTGGGCAGGGTAGGGAGTGATCTTGTGACACCAGGCTGGAGACACGACAGTTTGAAAGCTCCTGTTCTTGGGCAGCTGGTTAGAATTCTCAGACTGCATGCACCATGCCACCAGAAGCAATGTCCAAAGCTTTCTAAGAGAGACCGGGTCTATGCTGAGGGTTCCCACTGGGTCGGCCTCTGCTGCCACACAGGGACACAGCGCCCTGGTCCAGAGCTCTACCAAGAATTGTGCACCAGTGGGTGACTTCAGTAGCAGCCAGTGCTCGGAGAGCAGCACAAACACCCTGGACAAACACTTGGCCCAAAAGGATTAATGATAGAAAAATTGCTATATCCTGCAGACCACGGATTAGGACCAGAGCACACACAAACAAGGGGAGATCTCCCGAATTTCAAATTGTGTGTCTGTGTCCTCCACTTAAAAGATACATGCATTGTCTGTGTCCTCCACTTAAAAGATACATGCATTGTCTGTGTCCTCCACTTAAAAGATACATGCATTGTCTGTGTCCTCCACTTAAAAGATACATGCATTGTCTGAGTCCTCCACTTAAAAGATACATGCATTGGCTGTGTCCTCCACTTAAAAGATACATACATTGTCTGCATTCTCCACTTAAAAGATACATGCATTGTCTGTGTCCTCCACTTAAAAGATACATGCATTGTCTGCATTCTCCACTTAAAAGATACATGCATTGTCTGTGTCCTCCACTTAAAAGATACATGCATTGTCTGCATTCTCCACTTAAAAGATACATGCATTGTCTGCGTCTTCCACTTAAAAGATACACGCATTGACAGTGAGGTCCCAGAAGGAAAATTAGACGCAAAAATGTAGAAGAGAAAACAGCACAACCTGCTGTCATCACCTTCAAACTGTGAGCCAGAAAACCTTTTCTTTTTTCTCTTCTTTTCCTTCCTCCCTCTCTCTTTCTTTCATTTTTTTTGTTTTGTTTTGTTTTGTTTTGTTTTTGTTCGTCTTTTGAGACTGTCCTGGAACTCACATTGTAGACCAGACTCAAACCTCCTTTCTTAGGTCTCTGTCACATGTTTATTTGGTCACAGCATGAGAAAGGAAACTAACTCAGCTGCGGTTTTGTGTCAGCACCAAGTTGCTGTCTTGACCAGGGTACTGTGGAGAAACCTCACCATGAGGAGACATGTGGTGATATCTCGCTTGAACAAATAAAGCCTGTCTGAAGGTCAGAGAGTGGCGCTTACTACTAACTAACCATAGTGGTGATGGTGATTATGGTTTCATGGGATGACATTTGGGGATCACATGATGGCAGGGCTTTCTTTGACCCAATGACTACTTACACTCAAGTTTCTTCAGGTAAGTTGGATTCTATGCTGTGGTGTGGGATTCCTGTTCCTGTAACAGATAGTCACACTTAGTGGTTTGCAAGTACAGGAATGAATATTTATTATGTATACAATCTGCCTGCATGCCAGCAGAGGGCACCAGATCTCATTCAAGATGGTTGTGAGCCACCATGTGGTTGCTGGGAATTGAACCCAGGCCCTCTGGAAGAACAGTCAGTGCTCTTAACTGCTGAGCCATCTCTCCAGCCCAGGGATGATTTCTTTTTAAACACGGGAATTTATTATATCCCTGTGGAGATCAGAAGTAGAACACCAGACTCAAGGTGAAGTAGGTGGGGTAGTTCAGGCTGAGCCTCTGTTGGAGACACTGGGGGCCCTGCCTTCTCCTGGCTTTGAGGTGCTGTGTGCCAGTTCCTCCATGTTTGAAGTCAACGTGCATTAAATTCATAGAGGAGATGTCACTCTTCAGTAAGCATGATTCCCTGGAGAAGGTATCAGAGACTCAGCAGACAAACTCTGCTCCCGGTCATCAGCACTGGCCTTTGCGTACATGAGAGAGATGAGGCCTGGAAGCCAGATCTGGCTGGACATTTGCTTTGTAAATAAAGTTTTATTGGTACCCAACCACACCCCTCCTTTACACAGGCTCTGCTGGGACAACACTGCCATGGTGGTGTGGCAGTTGCCATGGAGACAGATGAGGTTGAAGTAGAGGGACATCCATCCCAGTTTGCCTAGGAAGCAGAGGTTTTGGGGGACACAGGGACTTTCATGTTCTGACAAGGAAGGTCCCAGCAAACTAGAATACCTAAAGCCTTAATTCACACCTGGTTCTTTGCAGAAAAAGTTGGCGGACTCTGCTTTGAAGCCACCAAAGGTAGGCAAAGAGGCGGAAGGTGAGTGGTTAAAGACAAGGTGGTAGGGTTGGGAAAGCCAACCAGCTCTTCCCAGGGTTGGTGGGATCTGTCAGGACAG